CACGGGGCCGGGGGGACCCTGTGCACCGAGAAGCGGGCCTGGGGTGCTGTTGGTGGTGTGCACTGTGCAAGAGGGCACGAGGGACCCCGTGTGCTGTGAAGTGGGGCTGGGGTGCTGCTGTCGGTGTGCATTGTGCAATGCGGCCAGGGGGACCCCATGCACTGTGAAATGGGGTTGGGGTCTCGCTGTCTGGCATGCACCACGTAGTGGGACCAAAGGGACCCCGTGCACCGTGGAAGGGGCCTGGGAATCATGCACTGTGCGGTGGGTCTACAGCGACCCCATGCACTATGAAATGGGGCTGGGGTGGTGCTGCCAGTGTGCAGTGCTGCCTGTGCTAGAGCCACACCTTCAGGTGTGCGAAACCTGGTGTGAGTGGGATGGGAGTGAGGGTGTTTCTGTGAGGACCAGTTCTGCGCTGGCAGCTCTGGACTCTGCTCTCACCGAAGCCAGCAGAGGGATGGATAGAAGGATACAGGGTGCAGCTGGATCCCTGTGAAGAGCCCAGAAGCAGCTCCACAAAGTATAGCTGATGTGAGAGCCATAGGACGCTGGCTGGGAACACCACTGTGACCAGGTGGCTGAGAAGCAGAGCGTGCAGAGGGATCTGGGCAAGGCCTTGCTGTTGTCCAGAGCCCTTTGACTCCTGGCCTGCGCTGGCTTGGGAAGCTTTGAGGAACAGCTCCCAGCCCTTGTCAGTGCAGGAAAGCAGTGGGTTTTTATTTACCCATTCCAGCCAGTAAAGAAGGCTAGTAGGTATTGATTAACCCTGTTCTGTCCAGCGTGGCCCCTTGCTGCCTTGTGAGATGAATGATCCCAGCCCCTGCTTCTTCTGAGGCAGCTTTCTAGCTCTCCTCAGCAGGTACGGAGGAGCAGGTATCTAGAACTTGTGGTTTCTGCCCTTGGACTGCAGCAGACCTGTGAAAGGTATGCAAACCTGCTGGCAATAGCTTTGCTTTTCTCAAGCTTGTTTATACAGCAAACTATAAATTACCAAATTGAACTGAGGTTACCTAAAAGAGAAGCAGACCATCCCTTTTGTAAGTAAAGAGCCTTTATGCACAGCCCTGAGTTGTTTCCTGAGTGGCTTGTTATCCCGCGATAGGGGATGCCAAGCAGTGATCAGCAGTTTTCTGTTTCCTTATCTTCAGCAACTTCATGTGGTGCTCCAAGCTGTTACAGTTGCTCTGTGCTGGGAATGGTCTTTCTGAAATCAGGACAGAGGAAAAGAGATAGGAAATTGTTAAAATGGCTCCCTTGACACACAAATGCTAATTAAGGTGATAACTCAGTCTGGTGCTCTGATGTATCACCAGACAGCTATTTTAAATGCTTTTCTTGGTGGGAGGCTTGACTTGAAGCAGCTGACTGGGGCAATGAATTTTTAGGCTTGAAAGGACCTTAGTAGCCTGTTGGCATTGTTCTTGTGTAAATATTTGCTTTAGCTGTGGTATCCGGCCAGCCTTGCCTTTGGCCCCTCTGCTCTGCTCTGGCTTGCAGAACTGCTGTAGGGGCTTTGGCAGAGGTTTTGAAATCCAGTATCTTATGTGGCTGTTACCTCAGGGGATGTGGATTGGCCTGTTCACAATGGAAAGCTTCACTGGACTTATAAAGGCTTGCTTACCTAGAGGAAAAGTTGCTTTCTGGGCTTGGCTTGAGTCCATAAGCATGCTCTTGGGTCTCTGCAGCTTGGGCCATAAGTTCCACATACATTTTTGAAGGGTGTTGCTGGTTTATACAGTTCCTCGTGCATTTTTTTGCTTTCTCCTGTCCCATCTGTCACACTGCACTTGCAGCTGTGCATTAAACTGGCTCAGAAGACCAGCTTGGCTGGAGAACACAGAGATGACTTGAATACCAGGTGTCTTCAGCATCTAAACTCTGACTTGGCCACCTGTGTTCAAGTCCCGTAGCTGGAAAATGTGCTTTCTTTGGCTTACATTGGGTATCCCTCAGTAGTTCAACCCCAACTTAAACTTGCCTTCGTTTAGTTTTCCGCACTGAAATACCTCCAGCCTGGCAGAGAAGATGTGCAGTTTATAACTTTGACCTTTATTCAAAACCAGTGCTCTTTTAATTGCTCAAAATAAAATATAACGCAGTGCAGAGACAACAACATTACGGTAACATAGGGGTAACGGTGCTTTAGGACTTGTGGCCTCAGATCCCTAGTAGATCTCTTCTCCAAAACCCCTGTCTAGAAAGCTTTGCCTCTGTGATCTCTTGGGTATCCTGATGTGTTTGGACAACTCAGCCTGGACTTTTTTCTCCTGTATCCCTGCAAGCTCTCCTCCATGGAAACAGCAGGGGAAGTCTTCCTCGGGCCTTCACCCCCAAAACTTTCAGGCTGAGAATCGGAAAATCAGTCCTAAACCTACCCTTCGCTGCCTTAAGCTGATAGAAGGACCAGGTCATAACAGAAGTACTTAACTCTCTGGAGTGCTGCAGCTTAGGTAAATGCCCACAGGATCAGCATTAATTGTAGCAGTAGTATATCAGAGCCCAGTGACCTGCTTAAGTGTTTGCAGGATCGGGACCTAAATACCCCAAACACTGTAAACCACTTGGTGAAAAGCCCAGCAGAAAGAAGGTGCTGTCACAGTCTCCAAAGCAGCAGCTCTTCAAAAAAGATGGCTGGGCTCCTGTAGCCCTCAATACCAAAAGAATCATAGCTCAGGTAAACTGCAGAGGAACACACTCCTATGCAGAGTGTGTTTCTCTCTTCCCCTGCCTCCATTGCCAGGAAGGCGTTGGGAGAGGTTTTCCAAAGCTGCATCGCATGCTGTCTGAACCTGCAGTAGGTTTTTGCCCGGACAGCCCCTTCTGCAGATCCTGCTCAGGTTGGCTCCCCAAGCCGCTGCCTCCCTGCTGGCTGCAGCCTGTGTCCCTCTGGAGGGTGTGTGTTGATGGCATGACTGACTCATACTCCTTTCTAAGTTGAACCTGTACTTAACTGGAGAAGTAATTAACACTTGTTAGTGGTCTAGAAAATGCTAAGCGCATCTTCCATTTTTAAACTACCCAAGGTGGCTCTGCCTTGTATGTGTTTGCTGCCCTTTTTTCCACAGAGTCTGTCCAGAGGAGAAATGGAGGGGTTTTATTTGGAAATGCTGTACTGATGGGAAGAGCAGTTAAGTCTGAAGAGGGCAAATGATGTTTGGGGCTCCATGAGATGCAATCTACATACACATGCTAGTGCAGAGTATGTCTATGTAGTGAGTAAACTGGGTCTAAATGGACTCAAAACAGGGACAGAGTGGAAGGAGCAGATGATTTTGTGAGTTCTGCTGATCGCTAGCGCTAGACCTTCCTTAACCCACCTGGCCCTGCTGCCTTCAGATCTGCTGTATCTGTCACCACACTGAGCGCTCAGCAGGAGGCTCCAGGCTGTCTGCATTGCCTGGGGCAAAACCCAGCCCCAGGATGGCATTCCT